ATTGCACTTAGGTTGGAGGCCATCGTTAGTAGGTTGGAGGCCATTGCACTTAGGTTGGAGGCCATCGTTAGCAGGTTGGAGGCCTTGCTCTCAGGTTGGAGGCCATTGCTCTTAGGTTGGAGGCCATTGCACTTAGGTTGGAGGCCATCGTTAGCAGGTTGGAGGCCATTGCACTTAGGTTGGAGGCCATCGTTAGCAGGTTGGAGGCCTTGCTCTCAGGTTGGAGGCCATTGCTAGTAGGTCAATCCAGAAGTACCATCCCTCCTTCGTCGAACGTGCCGCTCCAAGGCACGCGGTCGACCGGGGGACGCCGAAGTCCGAGTGCGACCATCCATGGGAGAGCGCCGCTGGCGACCCGGTCGCGGCCAAAACGGGTGGAACCTGGAAAGCTGTGAAATTGTCGTGGGATGGCTGGAGGGTGAAAGTGGGTGAGGAGGCGAGACAGGCGAGAAACTGGGGGGATGTTGAAAGCTTTGAACTTCTGCCAAAAACAGCAACTGCCGAACTGCTCCAAGTTCTCTTGGTTTAGGTCTAGGTCTTGGGAGTAAGATTGGAGGCGTGTTCAGGGCGACTCTCAGCAAGTTGGAGAAGCGATGGTCTTCGGAGTTCCGGAGAGGTGGGTGATCTTGGAAGGCTGTCTGCTCATTGAACTGACCATGGGATCAATTGGTATTGTTCAACACATGGACGAGGGGGAATCCTGGTATACACTGCGATGTGGGGTTTGTTCACCCCCCTACATCAACCATGCCCCTCCAGTTTGAGCCGCAAGCGCACGGAAGTGATTCATCATGTTTCATCCAATCAAGTGTGCCACAGAAGCCCAACTTGGACAGGCAAGAGCTTGGTTTTCACTTGAAAGGCCTGAAGGAAGGCCCATTAAGGGACCACTGTGAGCCTGATTCCTGATTCTCTTCTTTCACATGATCTTTCAAACGCATCCATAGTCCTGTTGCCGCTGGTGCCGTGTTAACTGTTGCAATGAGTTCGTTCCAGTCTGGTGCAACAGGGAGTCCACTACATCACACCGTGAAGAGAGGCGTTTGGGCTATATAGATCATGAGGCGTTTGGTGCCTCAGGCATGAGAAAGTAGAGAAGTGTGTAGATAGCAAAGATTAAGTACCAGTAGCTGAGTAGCATTGAATCAAGCTGGTTTGACATGGTCTCAAACTGATCGAAAGTTAAACATGGTTTCCACGGTGATCCATCTCAATCTGACTCTCTCGCGACCCTCCGTTTGGGAGGTGCCACATACTGGCTTCAGGCCACTGAAGATGCTGAGTATGTTCAAAGGAAAGGGATAGGGCTGTCTCCGCCTGGCGTTTATCTGCCTTTCGTTTACTTCATCTGCCCGAGCGCTGCGCCGCGCTCTGTCAGCGCGCACATCTTTTCAGCTCCGGTGCTTGGCTCGGAGGTCAAGGACCGAAGGAAGGCACCTGGAAAGAAGGGACGTCCCAGCTGCTTCTGTAGGCATGGCATGACGGATCTAGTGTTCCCCATATTTTGAAAGTCGGTTCGTCCAATTCAGATCCTGTTCAGGGATCATTCAGAGGGTCTGCTGCTAGATTGCTAGATTGGATGCTGCATTCATATCATACCCTGGAATGCTTCCACACTTACACAAACAGGTAGAGCAAACTGAGGCTGTGAGGGCAAAGGAGGATTGGCTCGGGTGCCCGACCTGGGCTCCAAAGTAGCTTGGGCCGGGACTCATCCCATGCGCCTGGGTCGGCAAGCAAAAAGAGTCGGCTCAGGTCCCAACTCAAAGCATTGGCAAAGCTGCATTTCCCAGGAACTTTTGCCGGTGGACCAACCCCAGTGGGACCTCTACTAGAAGTAGCGACGAACGCTCACTTATATTGTGTATGGCAGCCCCCAAAACACCTCATAATATCTATATCTATCGGTAGAGTCTAGAGCTTGCATAGTTGAGGTTCCTTGTTGACAAACATCCCTCAAATAAGTGAAAATCCTGCGCAATCCGCTGGTGTTTCTTTTTTCCAACACCTCTTTCCGATGGTTGAAGTTGGGCATTTTGTCTATACATTAATTGTTATTTGGGATTGCACGTTTATGGTCGCCATGTATCTTACTTGAGCTCCAAACATCTAAACACGCATACTGTACATCATATAACTAGCGTAACTAAGCTCGCGCAGCAACAGCCCCCTCCACAATTGGGACCTTGTGCTATCTTGTGCTGCTCACTTGGATAAACTTGTAAATTTGGATCTTGACAATGCCTGTAATTTGTGTCTACAAATCATTCGAATTCAAGTAAACAAACTTTTCCTAAACATCTAGGAACCACATCATTAGCGTCTTAGTAGCTAGGAGCGAACCAGTTTGTCCCTTACTTAATTAAGCAGGCGTCTACTTCATTAAGTAAGGAGGCAAGGCCACGGGCAGGTTCTGCTGACACTGAACATGATCCACGGCGGAGTCCAGCTTGTTCACATTGCTCGCTTGCCGCTGTCGGCCGTCTACATCGGTCGCGCCGTGGGCCGTAGGCTTCATGTTGCTAAAGGCAATTGGCCGTGAGATGATCAGCTCGGACCATGATGTCAGCATCAGCATCAGCTCGGAAGTGAGGGTGCTGCGCCCCATGCTGCTTGGAGAATGGTTTTGAGCTCTGCCCAGGGCAGCAATCAGGAGCAAGGACGCTACTAGGGGCTCCTGGCCCTACTACTAGGAGCAAGAAGCTACTAGGGGCTCCTGGCCTGACTACTAGGAACAAGGACGCTACTAGGAGCAAAGGGCATCGCTACTAGGAGCAAGGACCCTACTAGGGGCTCCTGGCCTTACTAATAGGAACGCTACTAGGAGCAAAGGACATCGCTACTAGGAGCAAGGAAGCAACTAGGAACAAGGACGCTAGTAGGAGCGCAGGGCCTCACTACTAGGAGCAAGGACGCTACTACAAGCGGCGTACTTAAGTCAACCCACGTCGCGTGAAGTCAACTCACTGCATGGGCACAAGGTTTCAGCGAGAAGTCAACCCACTCGCGTGAAGTGGACTCATTTTGGTCAAAGCACAATGGGCACAAAATGAGCACGGCAGGAAAGTGATATGTTCAAGGAAAAGTGTGTGCACACTGTGTTATGGCCGGCATTTGGCCTTGCTTTCTAGATGATTCATGCCCAAATCTCAATGGCACAGCACCGTTCACACCAATGCGCAACTTAGAGAATAGGTTGCACGCGCGCACACAAGTGACTATAGGCCTCTGCTCGCGCGAGCACGACTCATACAGTCGTCCTACAGCTTCCTACGGTCAACCAAATCAGAAGCAGCAGGAGCAGCAGCAGCCAACCAGAAGCAGCAGCAGCAGCAGTGGAGCATGGGCCCAAGGAGCTCTGCATCAAAACTGTCACAAATCCTTGTCCCTTCGCCCTGTGGAAGCTGCCCTCCAAAGAACAGATTCATAAATAGAAACAAGTGACAATCAGGCACACCATGGGCACAACACAAAACATGTGTTATAGATCAATACAATCTATGCTTAGACATCCCTGTGGAGTTCAGTTCTGTAAGTGCACACGGTTTCGAGTCGACTTTACACAAGCTGAGTCGACTTAACGCTAGTACCTAGTAGGGGCTCCTGGCCTTGATTGATCAAGTGACTTCGTGATGCACCCGAGACACCCTGTCTTCAGGGTGTCTTCAGACAAACAGGTTTGGGGCAAATGACCGGGCCTCTCCTGCCAAAAGATGAAACACATCAAACCGAAGCAGGTCTGAAACATCAAGCTGATTGGCAGCCGAGTGTGAAATCGCAATCATTGCCTTGACCATTTGCTTGAACTGTTGTATGGACACAAGTGTATTGTTTGCAACTCAAATTTGTCTTGCATTGCAGCACTTTGATAGCTCTTAGTTGTATCAACCTGTAAGTCTATATATATATATACAGTAACCCAGGGCCACAAAGTTTGCGTCTCATGATAGTTTTTTTTGGTGGGCCATCAATAGTTGGAGAACTTGTGAAGAGTTGTGTGCTGTGTGGAACAAAACAAGGAGCCGTGGTGGAACGGAGAACGCGCAACAGGTTGATTCTCCTTCGGAACTAAGCTGGCTGCCTACCCATTTCAATGGGTTCGAATGACAGTGTGATCAGCATATGACACATTCTACTGGACAAGGAACCAAGTTTTCTAGCTGCAAACTCGTGTTCCTAGTTACGTTGCAAGAGCTAGCAGAGGGTGTGAGATCATATGACCGCTTCATCCACTTCAGTGCCTGGGACTGTCAGCGCCAAGCGCTGGTGTTCCTTCTCAGAGACGCTGTTCCGGCCTCGATTGGGACATCATCCCGGGTGGATTGCTTGAAAGCCATATGGTTCGACACGTGCGTGGAAGGTGGCTGCAACCGATCGTCGACGATCGTCGTCCAGTTGTCTGGTCAAACTTGGGCTTCTGGTGGTGGCTCTGTTGTGAAACACGAACACAACACACTTATGGATATGCGTACTGACTTGACAGCGCAGCGGTACCACACGCCTGCCTAACAAACCCAAATCCTGAAAGGTCCAGGAAAGTCCTAAAGAGCCTGGGGGTCTTCAAAAGGAAGTGTGGCCCAAAGCGCAAGGCGAAGCCGATCCGACAAAGTGACGACGTTCCGTGCGTGACTGCAGCTGCGTTAGCCCTTTGCAAGAAAGTTCAAAATTTCGAAGGAAGCAGGTACGTCGGTGAGCGTCCCCACCGATATCAGTGTTCAATGCAAGCCTCTTCGTTGGGCTGGTACTTGCATGATACAACCAGCCCCCCGGCTTGAAACACAACGAAAACGAAAACAATTCAATAGAATCCCTGTGACTACAAGGGGCACACACACACACGCCTCCCCGAGGGGAGGCGTAAAGCTAAGGTGAGGGCCAATGCGCACGTGTGCGCTCACAAGACAAAAGAATGAAGACATGACAGTCAGACGAGACGGGACAAAGGTGCGTGTGGTTGAAACGAAAGGGGAACCAAGTGCACAGGGACACCCGATGAAGCCCACCTCATTGTAAAGACCTGGGCAACCTGTAACCTGTGTTTAAAGGTATGTAGAAGTGCACGTACACATTAAGGCCGGGACCAATGTGCACGCAAACGAAGAAAAGGACGAGATGAACAGACATGAAGACAGGAGGACATGAAAGAAAAGAGGGAACAAAAGTGTGTGAAGGGGAAGAGATGAAAGGGGAAACAAATAGAAGCACCTAGGGACTTGCCTCGTTTGAGTGTAAGCGCTGTGTGTGCACCTGAGGTGGGGACAGGTTCCAATGAACCTTAAACTTGCTTTGACCGCTATGGTCACCTTGTGCCCTGCCGAAATGGCTGGCTGCTTTGACCGCTGCGGTCACGTAACGGCATGAGCCAACTTGGAATTCCAAAAATGAGACAAACATCTAAGTTCGTGTGGCATGAGCCATCTGCTGTCCGCTCCGGACACGTACATCTCCAGGCAGGGGAGATAACGACAAACACCCGTTCGACAGGTCCACGGGAGGCACTCTACGGGCTCATCCCGGACTCTCACTGGGAGAGACACACTTATGGATATGCATACTGACTTGACAGCGGTACCACACGCCTGCCTAAGAAACCCAAATCCTGAAAGGTCCAGGAAAGTCCTAAAGAGCATGGGGGTCTTCAAAAGGAAGTGTGGCCCAAAGCGCAAGGCGAAGCCGATCCGACAAAGTGACGACGTTCCGTGCGTGACTGCAGCTGCATTATAGCCCTTTACATCCTTTACAAGAAAGTTCAAAATTTCGAAGGAAGCAGGTGCGTCGGTGAGCGTCCCCACCGATATCAGTGTTCAATGCAAGCCTCTTCGTTGGGCTGGTACTTGCATGATACAACCAGCCCCCCTGCTTGAAACACAACGAAAAAGAAAACAATTCAAAAGAATCCCTGTGACTACAAGGGGCACACACACACACACACACGCCTCCCCGAGGGGAGGCGTAAAGCTAAGGTGAGGGCCAATGTGCACGTGTGCGCTCACAAGACAAAAGAATGAAGACATGACAGTCAGACGAGACGGGACAAAGGTGCGTGTGGTTGAAATGAAAGGGGAACCAAGCGCACAGGGACACCCGATGAAGCCCACCTCATTGTAAAGACCTGGGCGACCTGTAACCTGTGTTTAAAGGTATGTAGCAAACCAGGAGCAAGCCAGCAGCAAACAAGCAGCAAACCAGCAGCAAACAAGCAGCAAGCAAGCAGCAAACAAGCAGCAAACCAGCAGCACACCAGCAGCAAGCCAGCAGCAAACCAGCAGCAGCAGCAAACAAGCAGCAAACAAGCAGCAGCAGCACAAGCAGCACAAGCAGCAGCAGCGGCAGCAGCAGCAGCAGCAGCAAACAAGCAGCAAACAAGCAGCAAACAAGCAGCAGCAGCAGCAGCAAACAAGCAGCAAACAAGCAGCAAACAAGCAGCAGCAGCAGCAGCAGCAAGCAAGCAGCAGACAAGCAGCAGACAAGCAGCAGCAGCAGCAAACAAGCAGCAAACAAGCAGCAGCAGCAGCAGCCACCACCACCACAACAACAGCAATAGCAGCAGCCAGGTGTTTCACCCTGCGGCGGCACCAGCGCCCAAGCTCGAGCACGCAAACGCGCAGCTCTTCCTACACTGGAACAACAGCGGCACCCTTCAGCGGCACCAGCACCCACGCTCGAAAACGCACACACGCAGCTATATGAAGTAAGAGCCCTAATAGCTCACGCTGTCTGTTGAAAAAACACGATGCAATGATGCAACAAGGTTGTTGAATCTATCACACAAGCAAGCAACGCATGGGTACAGCACATTAACATCAGTTCGTAGAACAAATAGAACAACAACAAACATCCATAGAAAAGCCAATCCCCAAGGGCACACCATTTTGATACGACTTTCCTCCAGTTGATACGACTTAAAGCGAGGCCCCAGTAGCATTGAAAGAACGGTTAGCTAGATCATTTGCATGTCGCATGTTCTCAAAACAGCATGGAATCATGAAACCGATGCGACTTCCCGAAGACCTTTCGACGGAAGTAACGGCAACATTTAGTGCAAACCGATGCGACTAATCTATCTGAGAGTACTTGCATGAACAACCAGCCCCCCTGCTTGAAACAAAACGAAAACGAAAACAATTCAAAAGAATCCCTGTGACTACAAGGGGCACACACACAGCCCTGCTACCCATGTTCAACCACAGTGGCACTATGTGGCACCCAAGTTTAATCTGCACATACTGTATATCCAAAATGTGAAGTTTCAAAAGCACAAAGATCAGCTCAAAACATGTCCCAACCAACATAGCGGCATGATGCGGTATGTACCTATTATATATGCCTGCATGAGCGAGCCACTCGCAAAAAAACACATGCAAAGCCGTATAGATTTTAATATATCTTCTGCGTGTGCAAACTGGCCTGGCAATGGAAGTGGGATTCGCTTATCCACATTTGATCATCTAATGATGCTGTGACGAATGTGATCCTGGCTCCCAACTGCTGTGGGATGCCAGGTCACGGGATACACATTCTTTACCCGCCCTGATAGTCTACTGATCACATAAACGTACCAGCAACAACAGTCCCAGAAAAGTATGGGAAGTAGAGATCTTCCAGTCAACTGTGGGGTGACACTGACACCGAGTAAAGAAAACACTTCCAGTCGTCAATTGGCAAACCTTGACCTTGGCTCCCGTGCGCCGGTAGGCTGCCAAGCCGGAGGCCACCCCTGGATGTTGCACCTGAAGGATGTCACGAAACACACCCAAGAAGACCGGACAAAAGAATGGTTGAACACCTCTATTATCTAGTGACCAAAGCTACCTACAGGTGGATTCACCTGAGCTCAAAACAGCTTGTGATGGATGCGAACTCACTCCAAGCAACTAGCATGACATTATCTTCAACGATCTTTAAGATCACACTGGCACCTGGCACCTATGGACCGTCCTGGGCTCCAAACCATTGGGCACGCCACTTCCAGGACGGCCTGAGTTGCGCATCCAGAACGGTCCACTCCCCATCAGTCACCATATCCCGTCGCGTCGTATTCTTGAGGTACACAGAACACGGAGAGGTGACTGAAAAAGACGAGACGAACGAGACCAAGCGATTTATTTGAATGTCGGTTTTTGTAGGCTACAAGTACTTTCCAAAAGCATGATCCCAAACCTGCTAGGCAAATGACAAGTGAATGAATCTCCATGTGGCTGCACTGTTTGAGACATACAAACTAGTGTTTGTTGCCCTCAAAACTGCTCCAGGCCGGGTAAACATGCAGAAGGCTGGGTAAACATCAGAGGGGCCTGCCTCTTCTGCTCTCCTGGGGCTGGTACCTTCAACTGCTAGAAGCGTCCTTGTTCCTAGTAGTAAGTCCAGGAGCCCCTAGTAGCGTCCTTGCTCCTAGCAGCGATGCCCTTCGCTCCTAGTAGCGTCCTTGTTCCTAGTAGTTCCAAAGTTCCAAACACAATCCCTTGTCACACTTCCATCCTGCCGCACAGCACCTTGTAGCGTCGTTCCTCGAAAGCCTGTAGAGCACGAGCAAACTCAAGCGCTGAACATCGATGTTAGGACGAGTTGGGAGAAGGGACGGGGGAAATCTTCCAAACCCGGCCAGCTGAGAAAGCAGAGTTTGTTCTGAAAAAGAAAACATCAACAAGAATAATGTGTTTGGTTCCCTTTAAACTCCTTTAATTAGGTTGAATTCAAAGGAGTCTTATTCAAGGGGGCAAATAATAGATTCCTTTTCTTTTCTTTTTTAAACACGAAAGGCAATACATGAAGATTCCTTCATTGAGCACCACTCAATCTGCAGAAGCCTCTCATTGAACTACACACGTAACCATTTGCTCACTACCCACTGTCCTACGAAAGAGTTGAGGAAATCTGAACTAGCCGACCAAAACAAACTTCAAAAGCAGGCTGGCTGCCAACGACATATATACATATATATTTATAGCAATTCTCCTGAAAACCATGAATGAGTTTATAAAATGTTCTTTTAGGATAACTATTTTGGGAAAGATCTTTTTTAAAAAATATAAAATCATTCAATTGAACAACAAGCGTGTATCATCATGTATAGTTGAGCTTTGGATTCCATCTCATGGTTGTCTTCCGAATCAAGTCATTTCCGGCTCCGCACTTCGAGGTTCGCTCTAGAGTGAGGCATGCATTGTCAAGCCACATGCAGCAATTTTAAAGGAGTATGAATGACATGTGTGTATATATGGTAAATACGCACGCACTCTCTCTCTATATATATAATGTATGTTATAAACATATATATATATGATATTATTATATATGTATATAGGGTCATACATTTGATACGTACTTAAAATGAACTGCTCAGCCATTTCGACAGCTCCCAGGTTCCAAGCCTCATTGCTCACAGCCGCCTCCTGCTCGTTCATCATCAAAGGAAGCAGAAGAGAATTCACGAAGTGGTTGACCATGTGATTGCCAACGGTTACATCATTATATAATTACTTGGTAATATTCTGCAATCACTTGATCACGGGGCATGTTTTTATTTTGATTTGACCATATTAGTTTGACCCTTTCAAGTCAGGATCATAAAGAGAAGACATGATTTGTCAGAGGAAGCTCAGAAGTTATCTGTATCACCGTTGTGCCAACTGAATTGCTTCAGAATATGCTTCTCTGGCCTTCATCAAAACAAACAAATGATCATCAGAACCTTAACAGGACCCAGTAATGGGATGGCAGTAGTCCCACTGAGTTATATAGCTCCTGATTCAACAGAAGAGGGTTCAGGGGGACAAGTTGATGGCACCTTTAGAAAGCAAAACATCAACTTCTTCTTCCTTGGACATTACTGTAGTCGGATTCTGTCTTCCGCTAGTAGATTCTTCAGAATGCGATCAAGTCAGCTAGCTTCTCTTAGAGATGGGGGTTCACAAAGGGCTGCGGCAAAAGAAACAATCACAGCCACAAAAAATATCCCGACTTCACAAATTGCAGCAAACGAGGCGACTCAATCTAGTTCTCCACCAGCATCTCTTACTATTTACTCTTCACACACTAATTACTGCTTATACGCTTCTCTTACTGTTTACTCTTCCTGAGGTCTACCTGCACTTGGTATATCCAGTGATTTCAAGATACGGTGTAGTCATGTTTAGTGGACTTTTGCAGCGCACCCCACACAACGACGTGTTCTTCCCAGTCGTCTGAAAAAAACATGACAACTTGTTGGCTAGAGGCTGGCTGTTACGCAAATCCGACAATACATCAACTCCCAAAGTTTCAGCTAAACTGCCAGAAGCTGCCAACGTTCTGTGCATCAATGATAGTATATAAATATATGTATAAATATATGTAAATATCACTTCTTGCAGGCACTTACAGGAGGTCATCATCAAACCTTGTGTTTGTTGGTAAATCCACCCTTCGTTGGTCATTCCAACATATTCCAACCGGGTTTAAAGCATAAAAGCAAGCTCTGCGAACAAAAGGCGATGTATCGCCAAAAGTGGACATTGTAGGACCTCCAACTCTTGAGTCGAAGCGATGGCCTCCAAGCGAACATAATAACATATATGATATGTAAAAAACATACTTTAAAAGGACAAACTTTAGAAAACCACACTTTAAGGAACCTAATAGCGATGGCCTCCAACCTAGAAACGATTGCCTCCAACCTAAGAGCGATGGCCTTCAACCTAAGAGCAATTCTGTCCTTCATCAAAAGATCTCGCGTGAACAGCTGCAGCAAGGGCTGCCGCAAGTCCGCCCGCCGCTGGAGGAGGGTGCAAATCTGCGAGGTGTGCGACAGGGTCTGCCGGGTGGATCTGGAGGAGGTGGATCCGGGTGGATCGCGTTTCCTGCGAAAAATATTGTAAGACTGTAAGACATTCAAAGGATCCAACGGGTGTGAGGATCCCGGCTCCTCCGTGCACAAGTTATAATGTTCCGCCCATAACTCATACAATCTCACAATTATAGCTGCCATCCCCAATTTGTCTCTTTGTTCCTAGTCCAAGAAGAGGACTCATGTTTCTAATTTGGGCCCATCATTGCCGTAGGATGTGAATGTCTGGATGCGATTCCAGTGGTTGAGGCCTGGGACTTGGGTCATTTTTAGGAGCTTATAGTTGAACGGCGCCAGCACATATCCCTCGCTACATGAATGTGGCTCTGTCAATGAAAAGCCTGACCAGCAGGCTGAACGGCGCCCGGCCTCCTGCAAAGGGATGGCCAAGCATCGCACGCTGGGAGCACGCACGGTGACCTGGGCGGAGCACTTTCAAAAAAACTGGGGAAGTCCTGGGAAAGTATAACGAGACCGAAAAGAATAACCGCCCAACCAACCCATACCAAACCACACCAAGCCCACCAAAGCACTCCACAAGGGCTGCTGCTGATGTTGCTTTAGATCCGAATCCACTTCATAGCAAACAATAGAAGCCACTGGGCATGGGCATACAGGCGGGTGTACGTACCCCGGGCACACCCCAACCTTTCAGAGTCAGCAGGCAGCTGAATCCTATTCTTGACTCTTTGAGCGTCTCTGCGAACATCCCGATCCAATCAAGAAAACGTCAACATCTGTCAGCTGCCGCCAGGAGACATGTTGGGTCAACGGGGGGGACCCGAAAGAAACCCTTCCCAACGACCCAACATGATTTTTTAGGGGGTGGGGAAGGGGCTGGGGACAGTTTCGTTCGTGTATCTACTCCCGTAAATCATCGTAAATCGGCATTTGCGCTGCGCTTTCGGCTTCGTAACGTTTCGTTCGTGGTTGTACTCGCGTACATCGTTGATGGCCTCGCAGCATTGTGGTTCAGCGAACATCCAGGCTTGGACTCAATGCTGCAGGCTGTGAAAAAACACAGAAAGGCGGTGCAAGACACTTGTCCGCAGCTCAAATGTACAGTGACCTGTCATGGCTCGAATGGGCAGAGGACTGATGTCTGTTGTGAAAAAAAGGGCAAGATCCTGGGACTGGAGAGGTCGGGAGAGACTGGACAGCAGACCTGGTCTTATTTGAGTGTCTTGAAAATCCACTCAAGTCACTAGTCATTGTCTTGGAGTTCATGAACTCCAAGACGATAAGTTGAGTGACCTGAAAAGGCAAAAACACATGGTAAACGCAGGTTTTTCGAATCTTTCTAGCTCTGTGCATGTTGCTGTCGGGGCACCCCCCCTGTTTACCCAACATGTTGCGACATGCTGGCTTGTGAGCTTGGGGTGGGGAGTCGCGCTAGAACTGCGCCAAAGGATCTGATGTGAACTCTTTGAAGATCTGGTGGGGAATGGTGGCACGGTGGGCTTTGCCTCCCACACTTGACACTGCACTCGCTATGAGCCACGGTCAAACAAATATTACTATATAAACCAAAGGACATCAAATGTTTTATCGTTCTTGAGATGATGTGTCTTTGTTTTGGGGCAGTGTATTATCGACTGTTTTCTAAAGCTAGAGCCTGCTCGTCTCTTTACTCGTGAAGTCTTCCATTTGACCGAACCTCATTTCCCTTTTTGGTGACCTTCCAAGGCCCGGTCCGTGGCGGAAGATGCTCGAGAGGACTCGCTTTCATGCAGCAGGTAACCCACCTGCAAAGGCTGGTGGAATCACTGTAGTTTCACTCCTACGTCATGGCATGTCTCTAGGAATGTGCCATGAAGCACAAAACCAAACTGATTACAGTAACTTTCGGCTGCCAAAGCTGCCGAATTGATACAAGCCAGGTGAGGTGCCCAAATGATACACAGAGTGTCGAATCAGTCCACCGGGCCACCTCATTTGAGATTTGGGTCCCCTCCTTCTCCAAAGTCACCACGGTCTGTCGTCAGCTGACTGTGGTTGACAGAGACAACCCTGCTGATTCCTTAGCACTTTTTCTTGGAAGTGACATGGATTATGCGAATAGACTCTAGACTGACCCCCAAACATCAAAACACATTTCATCAAATATACAGTAACGTAAACTGCTAGTTAACATCCATCTGGTTTGCGCGGATCCGATGTGGAAGTCTTTTTTGCCACCACTCTCAAACTCCTGTAAAACTACTTGTAGTTCATTTGGTTCAAGTACTCTCAATGTGTCTAGTTCACTCTGCCACCCAAGACGTACCCTTCGTCTTGGACCCCCCAATCGCACGCGCGTTCACAGTCCGGTCCGCACCTCCCCGACACGGTTCCCAGGGCCCAGCACGGCCACCGGACGGCCACCAGAAGAGACCTCGTCACGTGGGTCGCCCGTCCACGGGTGGTCTGAAGATGGACATCGACTTGGTCATTCTTGGTGATGCTCCCTATGAACAGGGGCTGTATCGATTAACCTGAGAAGGGAGAAACGAAGGCCAGTGGAGCCAGTGGAAATTTAATTACGCGTGGCGCACGCGCCGCAGGTCATGAGACGATGGCACTGGCCCTTGCCAACTGAGGTCTGGTCTGTGTGGTTCGGCCCCGTATTCTTAGGGCAAAACAAGCGGTTAACCTGCGGATGAGAAGGTTTCCGCTAAATCATGAAAACCTTGTACCTTATAATAGGCGGTACGGACTGTCTAAACGGTCTAACAAAAACCCACGAGACGCCTCAGCTGGCGCCCTTCAGGGTGCAGTGGACCTTTTAGGTCACCCTGAGTCAGACTTCCAAACGAACCCCCTTCATCTCTTGACGGTAACCTGTCCGTAACGGTAACCTGGTCAGACTTCGGGCTGACCGCGCCACTTCCGCCAGCGGCATGCTGGACATACATACATACATACATATATGTTGTGAATGTTCAATGAATGAACATGGTCCATCAGCTACACGAATGCCCATCCACCAAAACGGTGGCTCAAACTGGACCAGGCAGAAGACACAAAGGACCGTGAGTGTTGGATCACTTAGGAGGTAGATCACACAGGGTGTATCATTCAGATTGGTAGCGGAGCCTTCGGGCTGCCGCCTAGGATGTCTAGGATAGATCATCGGGTAATGAGTCTCATCCTAGGTTTTTGGTTATGCAGGCATCCCCTTTTTCTGTTGAGTTTTCACCACTCCTTTCGGCAAGAGCCATGCCGGAAGAAGATCGAGGCGCAAGCAGCGGGATCCGGAGGAGGGACCAATGGGAACACCACCCTTCCATGGAATCAGATTCCAAGCTCCGAGCCAGGGGTGACTGACATGCATGTCTACAGCCGCAAACTGTCCTTTCTCAAGGACATCTGGCCAGCCGAATGAGTGGAACACCTAGCACCACGAGCAGCATTGCTGTTCCAAAAGGTGGCCCGTGGACCCAGCAAAGCTCAAGACCAAGGATGGCGTCAAGCTCTCTTAGTTCAGGCCTTGGGAGGGCAATGGGGGCAGCTGGAAGAAGAGGTGAAATTGGTTATCTTCCAGACCTCTCAAAAGGCTGATGAAAGCAATGACAGCTATCTGGCAAGGCATGACAACGCCTTTGAAGACCTCATGGGGGCAAACGTCACGGTCGAGGACACTCGGGCCTACATCCTGAGTTTATCCATGGATGATCGCAAGAAAATCATCATGGAGAACCACGGTACTCCTTGGGGCCAAGTTCTTCAATGAGCTCCAACAGAACCAGTCAAAGAAGTGGAAAACCTATGACTGGAACTACATCGAATACTAGAAGGAGGTCCCAATGACCGAGGAGGGTGACTATGGTGAATGGGACGAGGGAATGGGTCTACCAGGCTCTCTTGGAAGAAGGAGATGAACACGCACAGTTCTGCCACGAATTCGAAGAGCAGAATGCCAGGAGAGCAGCGAGCTATCATCGTGCTTCACCACGTACCAAGAGGCACGACAAAAGATCAAGAACAAGGCCCGGTCAAGAGGCTTCTGGCCAGTTGGAACAGGTGGAAAGGGAAAAGGGAAGTCCAAGGGAAAGTCCAAAGCCAACAAAGGCTTCACCTTCTACAAGAAGCGCTCCTTGGCCGACCGAATAGCGGCCGACCGAATAGCGAGCTCCACCTGCAGGAAATATCTCCAACCAGGACACTGGAAGCGAGAATGCCCAAATCCACCGCTTCCGTCATTTCAGAACAAGTGCACAGAGATGATCACCATGACCGTGGAGCAGAATCCAATGAGCAAGGACCATGAACTTGTTGATGACCTGCCGGAGAACGCTGAGGTCATCAATCTGAACACCATCGAGGAGAGAATTCAAAAGAGTTTTAAATTGGGAATGATGGCGTTTCTTGCCCTTTTGTTTTGGTATGTAGGATTTCAAGGGGATTAGAAAACCTTATACCGCGGACAGAGGGAAGTTGTTGAGGTGTTTGTCATGGAAGAGTTTTCACAACAGTTGACCAATCGCCTTCAAAATTGCTGTAGGAAATTGCAGACCATGCCCGGACGGCCCGCAGCGAGTCCTTGTCCAGCCAGTTAAATTTTTCTTCAGGAAGCCGTAGTATGGAAACGGCCAGTGAGGGGGTAGAAAACCTTCTATTTCCGAAGAAAGAGCCACATTGCAATTTTAGATACCGGAGCAAGCCGAACAGTTATCGGAGAGAGAAGGCTTGAGAGGCTGTTGAAGTTTTTGAGGGGTCACATTAGAAGACAAGTACGAAAGGTAAAATCCGCCTCCTGCCACGGAAAAATGGAGGCTGGATCAAGGTGGAAGTGATTGCTGGAAACACACCCTTTTTACTGTCAAACTCACTCCTCCGAAAACTAAAAGGGGTTGTTGATGTGGAAGGGCGAAGACTCATGTTCAAAGGGGAGAATTTTGGAATTTACCTCATCGAATTTCGGAAACATCTTTTAGGACTTAATGTATATAAATGATCTTTTGGGCGGACCATGGAAGGACCAACAAATTCTCCTAGCCGACGAAACAGAGGTAAGTGAAGCCAATCCACATGGAAACACAGAACCACCAAGCACCCACACCACAGAGGCCACCAAAGACACGAAGCATGCATGAACAATGGAATTCAGAATGTTTTTCTCAGCGTCCGCATGAAAGTTGGCAAGACTCGTACGTCACCAGCAAACAAAGAGCTCAATGGCCAACTCCTACATGACCGATGCCCTGGACCTTCCAGTGGACCACTCCCTGACGACCAAGATGCCGCACCAGGAAACAGGTCTTCTGGTGCAACCACCAGGAGTGACTACACTTGAGGAGTGGGGACAGATGAAGCTTCCCAGTGGCAAGTGGGCCGGACAGACTTATCAACAAGTCTACGATCACCACCGGGACTATGTCAACCAGACCTATACAACCGAAAGGCAGACGCGCCATGGCTTCGAAACTTCAAGATGTTCTGTCGAGCTCACAAAGAGATGCAGCCACAAGCCACTCCTCCAGATGCTCTTCGGCCAGAACCACCAATGGCCCAGAACGAGGCCGCCCCAGTCCAGGAAGCAATCACATCACAAAGCACCGTCCCATCCAAGCCAGCCAAGAAGCTCATCCAAAGGAGTCGATACTCCAACCACGACCCCTCGCGGAACAGGAGACAAAGGCCAGTCCAGTGAGCACCAAGACCGACACCAAAACACAAGAGACGAACAAGCAGGGATACGAGCAGCAGACCTGAAGGACGAATCAGGAAAAGCCAGAGTTCAAGCCAGATTGCCTTGTGGAGCGAGATCTTGCCCAAGCACAAGCACAAGCAAGCAGCTCAGACCAACCCGACCCAAACGATCAGTGACCGAGGAAGAAAAGGAGATTGAGAAGGCTACTGCTTACATTCAAGCGAAGACAGACCCCGACGACCAACTGAGATGCCTGACCAGTGAGCAGGAACACCGGATTCACCAGGAACTGCAGAACCTATCACAAGAAATCCAAGACCAGCTAGTCATGATGGCAGACTTGGTGAACCCAGTGACATTCCAGAATGCCCTAAATTCGGCACCACCGTCCAGTGAAGCCACAGTTGAACTCTTGGAAAATTATTGTGAACCTACATCTCAATTGACCTCTCAATTTAATTTGTGTGGCACCAGAGTGTCGACTATGGGGAATGTTCTCTAGATTCAACATGGGCAGAAGCCGAACTGCGCACAATCGTATCCTACAAGAACGAAAGTATATGACTCACACCACCTACGACTGCGCAATGAGATCTACTTATTGCATCAGCTGAGTAAAAATCGAGACTTCCACCTGGAACAACCAGTAGGATCAGAGATGATCCATCAGCCAGAACTCAGCAACGCAGCAATGGGCACTCTCAGCCACCTTCGACATGTGTCAAGTGGGCCAACTGCATCTTCCAGGATCCAAAAAGTTCCTTCGAAAAGGGACTCGTGTCCATACCACAAGCCGACATTTATGGCAAGAACTACATGGACATCGTTGTACACACCAGCATGAACATGAACCCAAAGGGAAATACAAGACAACACACAACTGGGAAAACATCTCCACATTTGCACAGAACTACACCGTAATGTTTGGAAAGAGAGTTGTAAAGGCTTTAAAGGGTGAATGTCACCTAGGGAGACACCACTGGTTCTAGCGGAGATGATACTAGGATTGGAAGAGCATGAGCGCCCAGAATGGCACAGGAATCCTTTCAGCTGCGCAAGCGTCGCCGGGTCTGCTTTAAACAAGCAGAGGAGGCTCTATACGGCAAAGCTCCCACGTGGAGGCGCCCGGACCCCTGAGTAGGAAATTGATATTTTCGCAAAGGACAAGAACCCCTTGTGGACATGGTTCAGAGGATTGTTCATGACATGGAGGTTCACTTGATCATATGATTCATGTCGGGGAACGGATAGGTACCGAGTAGGTGGAGTGGACCTAGACTTAGAAAGACGGTGATAGTGGATAGGGAGACTGGGAGGTAGGGGACCTAGGACTGGACTAAGATGACCAAGCCGAAAAGGGTTGCTAGGCGAAGCCGGGAATTCCGAATGAATGCAAGGATGTACCCATGCCAGGAAATGAGAATCCTGAAGTAATTCCAGGATTCTCTGAATCAGATTTGCCAATGGCCGAAGAGCCCGACCCTGAGAGCCTCCCAACGCATGTCCGCACCTCAGGACCAAAGTTCAGGGGACTTTCCCGTGAAGAGCAGAGAGATTTGGGGATGATGTTCCTTTTTGATGAAGCAAAGCGAAAGGAAGTTCAGGCTTCGGTGGACCATGGAGCAGTAAAGAAACTCACAAAAGGGACCCTCAATCCAGAGCAAATCATGAGGCCCCGGTGGATATTAACCTGGAAAAATCCTCTACCAGGCTCCACCGAATTTCGCGCAAAGGCAAGATTGGTGATTTTGGGTTTTGAGGATCCAGGAATTGGGAATAAGATTGATACCAACGCACCTACCCTATCAAAGGATGGAAGACAACTGCTTCTTCAACAAGTAAGTTCAAATTCCTGGCCCCTCATCAACTTTCACGTCTCCACCGCCTTTTTGAGAGGAAAAGGAGACGGTCACCTGTTGAGCTCAAGTCAGCCCTTCAGATGAGTTCAACAGACCAGTGTGGTCTAACCGGAGGAGCCTATGGAAGAGCAGATGCACCACTCCTATGGTACAATCCCGTCGACGGTACCTAGAGTAAGGGGGGTTTTGGGGATACATGTGGACGACGGAATAGTGGGTTGTGACTCATTCTTCCAGGCAACCATCCAAAGGTTGAAGGAAAAATACAGTTTGGAGCATACTATGAAAGGAAGTTTGATTTGTACAGAGTCCACTTCAAAAAAAGGGAAGACAGTTCCGTAGAAATGGATCAGAACAAGTATGTGGAGAAGATATCCTCCATTCATGTGAGTAGGGAGAGGAGAAAGAAACCGGACAGTCCAGTACATGAAGCAGAAAGACAACAGCTCCGACAACTGTGTGGAAGCATGCAATATGCCTCAGTTCATACCAGGCCAGATACTAGCACCAAGGTTGGAGTAACTGCATCGAAGATAAACAAAGCATGTGTGGAGGACCTGCTTCAAGCCAAACGGGTACTATACGAGGCCAAAACTAATCGAATGAGTTTGATCGTTGCTCCGATCCCGGAGGCAAGAGTGACCTTTTGTGGATTTAGCGATGCTTCTTTTCCAACAAGCAAAGGGTCACCATCCAGACAAGGAGCTTTGATCGTTTCCACCGACCAAATGCTTGCGCAAGACCAACAAGCTGCGATTTGTCCAATAGCATGGTCATCCAAGAAAATCCCTCGTGTAGTGACATCCACCTTGAGTTCTGAAGCAATTGCACTTAGTTCAGCGCTCGACAGACTGAGTTTCATCAGGGTGGCTTGGGAATGGTTGACAAACCCATCAATCAATTGGACAGATGTCACAGAGATTTGGAAGGCTGCACCAAAAGCTTGCATCACGACAGATTGCAAGAGTGTTTTTGACGTGGCAACAAAGCTGAATCCACCTCAATGTTCAGAGTACAGAACTACTCTGGAGTGCCTTCTAATTCGACAACGCTTTCAAGAGAACACCTCTCTGCGGTGGATCTGTAGTCAAGCCATGCTAACAGACTCATTGACCAAATGTATGAGTGGGGACGTTCTGAGGGAAGCCTTGAGAACTGGGGTTTACAGGTTTTTCGATGAGAGCGAAACACTGAAAAGCAAAGCCACAAAACGCGAGAGGTTGAAATGGATGAGGGAAGGCAAAGCTGATGGACAAGAACAAACGCATCCATGAGCCAATTTGTTTAGAAAACTTTGATTTTTTGGGAGTGTGAATGTTCAATGAATGAACATGGTCCATCAGCTACACGAACGCCCTTTCACCAAAACGGTGGCTCAAGCTGGACCCGGCAGAAGACACAAGGGCCGTGAGTGTTGGATCACTTAGGAGGTAGATCACACAGGGTGTATCATTCAGAATATATATTTGTATATCTATATATTGATTTATTTATGCGACAATATACATGCGTTATAGATATTAGAATTCAAAAGCGCCATAAATTGAACCCCCCTTGGTCGTCGAAGGTGGGGTAGTTCTGAGGCCAAAACACAAACGCTGAATCTCAGCACTGCTGATGTTTTTTGGAAGCCCATTTTGGTCAGATTTAGTGCCCCAAAGCTCCATAGACAAACCTCCCTGGGTCCGTTTTGGGAATTCATTTTGGTTATCCGATTTTCCAGAAAGAGACCTGCTGCCCCTGATAACCCCAGCTTGATGATGCAAGTGATGTTGCATCTTTTGCACCACAAATTCACCAAAACATCAGCAGCCACGATTATTTCGGTACGCAAAGTCGGGTCTGCCCCCCGCCTGTCGGCAGCCCTCCAAAAATGGCATCCGCTCCGACCACTGAACGTTGTTTTCTTCCAATCTAGCCCCCAAACATCTTACCCATCTGTATTGAACTCGCATGGATGTACCAGTAAACCTCCTTGAACACCCAAAGCCAAACAAGTTCTCCCGTTCAAACCAAAAATCAAAATCATTCAAAATATCAAAATAACTACAAACAGGTCATGGCTAACGTATTTGTAGCACCAAGGCGAAGACCGGATCCACTGCGAGGACTTTGGCTTTCGCACCTCAACCTCTCCCTCTGCGATGAGGTAGAGCATGGCCTGGTGGGCAAAGTTGGGCCAAGCATGGCTCCTAGCTGCAGGGACAGTGGAGTATGGGTTCATAATGAATCGTAATGATTCATATATGGACCATATGCATTCCCCTCCTTTGTTCCGTGAGTTGCAAAAAGGTTCCTTGTTGGGGTGATGTCAGGAAGTCTATGTATTACGGGAGGAAAACATTGGTAGAGGACTTCCTCTCCCATGTGAGGATGACTAGCTACTTTGTGGGAGTGGCTGTTAGTCAGTTCGATGACGTGATGATTAGAGCTAAGGTTTGCTTTGGGGCCAGCTTGAAAAAGTTTTGGTTTGGTTTGGGATGACTTGGAAAACATGGAGGCGATCGTCAGCCCTCGACAGAGCTGTCCCTTCTGGCCTCTGCTATTGGCATCGGGTATCCAAATCAGCATTGGTTCAATTGGCCCGTTGCACATACGACCCGGTACCAGCTCACTTGAGGACGGGGGTTGGTGACGAAAGCTAGCATGGCTTGGAAGCGGGATGTGGCGAGAGGCATCGGAGAGCACAATTCTACAGTGGACTGTCCTCTCCGATGCCTTGATCAGACGTGGGGGAGGGGGGAGTTGAACCCGCCGGGAGGGGGAGGGGGCCAGCAATGACTTGCTAAAGCAAGAGTAACTCCAGCTAGCTGACGCTAGCTTTCGTGATTTCTCTCATGAGTCCCTCAAATAATGGACGCCATAACGAGTGTTCCAGGCGGTTTCTTTGACTTAGGGCGTTCATGTTCTGCGGTGAGACTTTGCCTGTGTTTCTTGATGTCAAACTTCAACTTCAAACTTGTTCCGCAGGTTTTCGTAGCAGCGCAGCCTAGCGCAGCCACTTCTTTTGGGCCAATGACGCGAGTGGCCCGCCCAGCAGCATCCAGAAACTACACTGGACCCTTGTGACTTGCCAGTAAGACATGTCATCACCCTGAAAAACCTTCATGTATTGCAAGAATTTCACCCCTCGTCGTAGCTTGACCAGATTGACTGTTGGAAAGTCACCCTCCCTGCAACCGATGCCTTCTCTCTGTCAAATGTCACCCCTTCTTCCGCAAGCCTGCAAACCACGCGTGAGCAAGGATGCAACACCCGCAAAAACATTCCAAGCATCAATTCAAGGTGGATATCCGCTTCTTGTTCACTTTCTTATTTATCTGATAGCTCCATCCTGCAACTGCCAACTGCAGCGTGTCAACAGTCTGCCTTCAATTGTATTGTATACTCAGGGACTCAGGGACGTTAACATTGGGCAGTGGATGGCAGTGGCAACAAGGCAATTGCAGGTGATAGAATTTGTAAGATTGTCACAACAGCGCATTTTAAAGGTCGAGGCGCAATCCAAGTTTTGGGCCAAACGTGAACACACACGCACGCACGCGCGCATGCACACACACACACACATGCCTCCCCTCCAACACAAACCAACACCAGTTTCTGTGAAAAAATTGAATAACATGAGTCACTTCCCAGCTGAGGAGTTGAAGTTCGTCCCGCTCTTCGTTCGGCCTCTGGCCACTTTGCAGCATCAACCAATGGCCAAAACCTGCTAAGTCGGCGAACCTGGGATTCGATGTGACCGTGATTACAGAAGGGAACACGAGAATCAACTCTTTATGACCAACAGCAAAGTATTAATGTAGGATCATGATTTGAAAAAGGCACCCCCTAAAGAAATGGGGGATCCTCTATAATAAATGGGTGCCAAAACAAATCTGGGTTCCTGGGAGGATTCGTTTTGTAATTGGTTGTGGATTTCATTGTCTTTTCTTTTTTTTGGTAATTATATAAACACAGAGATTCTCAGCAATCCTTTTATGCGACTAAGACGAGGACAAAGAAGGTTTTCAGGTTCTCTGTGGCTGTGAAGAAAAACTAGAACCCGATTTTACGCATCAATACTTTGAGCAACCCAGCCATTGGCTTAGTAGTATTATATACAAACTATTTTCCATTAAATTAGATAGTGAAGAACAAAAGTTGCACAGTTGAGGATCCTTAAAGAAAATTCATTACATATTGAGGATCAGGGGCCTTCCTGGCCTACTACCTCGAAAACTTGTTTAGGAGCAACCTTTACATAAAGGATTGATTAAGGAATTGATGGCTTCGGGAGGCTGTCAGTTTTGAAGAAGAATTAGAAAAAATTATACTTATCAATACTCTCATGCAGCTAGCCATTGGCTTAGTAGCATTTCTTTAGAATTACTATTATTGTTTTTTGAGGAAAAGACTTTGCACAAGTGAGGATCCTTAAAGCAAATTTATTATTGAGAATTGCGGGCCTTCCTGGTCTACTACCTTGAAAATTTGCTTAGGAGCAATCTTTGCATAAAGGAATGATTAAGGAATTGATGGCTTTTGGGAAGCTGTCAGCTTTGAAGAAAACTAAACTTATCAATACTCTCAGCAAGCTAGCCATTAGCTTAGTAGTATTGAGAATTAATGCTTGAATTCTGAGGAAAAATCTTTGCGCAATTGAGGATCGATTAAGCAAAAGTAGAGCGATGTGGCAAAGCGTGTCCGCGAGTGATTGTACACTGGTACGCTGGCGGTGGCTGGTCGCGCTGGTTATGCTGTGTACGCTGGTTACGCTGATTCCGCTGTTTGCGCTGCCTACGCTGTGTACGCTGGTTACACTGCCTACACCGAATACGCTCGGTGTAGACTGTAAACGGTGTAGAAGGTGTAAGCGTTGTGTATATGTATATATATATATACACCGTATACGGTCTAAACGGTGTAAACAGTGTAGACGGTGTAAACGGTGTAGACGGTGTAAACGGTGTAAGCGGTGTAGACGGTGTAACGGTGTAGACGGTGTAAACGGTGTAGACGGGTACACGGTGTAAACAGTAGACGGTGTATATTGACGGTGGAGACGGTGTAAACGGTGTAGACGGTGGTGTAGATGGCGTAAACGGTGAAAACATGTGAAAACGGTGCGCAAACGATTGTGGAAGAAAGGACGAACGTGACCCCACCACCTCGCACGCGACGCCTCCACCCACTTAAGGGTCTCCCGACCAATGCGCGCGCAACGCACGGTTCCTATAGGAGGCCCAGAGGAAGAAGGCCCAAAAGAAGGAGATGTTTGAAGGATCTTGAAGGCCCAACCTAAAGTTTCCTGATGAGTGTTGTATAACAAGCCTGGCCAGTCCCAACCGGCCCCCCGTCACTCCAACCAGACATGCTTTTTGGGGTTTATTGCTATTCACACCCCGGAAGACCTTAAGATTCCGGTGTATCAGGACCGGGAGCCCATTAAATAGTCAAAAATCTGTGATCATGTGATCATTTACTACATTGAACAATTAATGAGCTCTCAGTTTGAGACTCATTAAGGTGCCTAAGGTGCGTTCCCTGAAAATCATAGCAGCTCCATTTTGGAAGCTCAAAATGGGAAGCTCCAATTTGGAGCTGGCAGCTCCATTTTGGAGCTTCTGATGCCTGGCAGTTCTAAAATGGACCTGCCAAGCAGCTCCGTTTTGGAGCCGCTAACCAACATGTTTTAAGCTGCTAACCAACATATTAGAAGCTGCCATCAGCTCCATTTTGGAGCTGCTATACTGTGTGCGCTCAAGCCTTTCCTCCCGCTTTCAAAAAACAGAACATTGCGCCTGTGGTTGCCTGCGCAAGGCAAACAAATTGAGTTTGCCTGCGCAAGGCCAAGAGCTGAAGTTTTTTTTAACTGCCAAAAAGCTTCTGACGCATGTCATGTATCTAGCAGCTTTCAGGGTAGTTATGCCTGAAGGTTGCCTGCGCAAGGCAGAAACTTTTTGATTTCACGCAGGTCACCAGTGCGCTTTTTGGAAACATTTGTGTTTTGGTGTTGCCTGCATAGGGCAAGAACTATCCTAGGTTCCCTGGTTTTGCAGGGTTTGTTGGTGCAGGCGTTTTTTGGCACTGCTTGGCGCAGGCTAGCTGACTGTTCTTGCTCTCTTTCACATGTGGAAGTGGGAAGTGAATGCGAAAGCTAATTGACCAATGATGGTGCTCTGAACAAATGAAAATTCCCAGTACGCAGCCCAGGTGTGAGTGTGGCCTGGATGTTCACGGCACTTGCCGCATAGGCCTGCAGCATGGATGAACATGCAGAGTTGCAGTGTGATCCCTGACTGAAACGACACTGAAGAAGCCCCTGAATTGTCAAAGTGATGTACATGACAGTCGCAAGCACTAAATGAAGCATGCCTCGCCTGGAATTGTCTGACCTTGGCTGAAAAAAGGTCAACAAATGGAGAGGGCGCGTGCTCAAGCCCATTGCGCGCAAATGAGCGCAGGGCAGGCTGCCCCACACGTGTGACCCACCAGCAAAGACGTTGCCTGCCGAGGTCCTTTCAGAAATTGGCTCTCACACGGTGCGAAGAATTACGCTTCACTGGAAGGGACTTCGGGGAGCTTTTTGTTCCGCGCAGAGCTTTGCGAACAAGTGTGCGTAGCCGAGCGTCATGCAAGTTGACACACAGGAGAACTTGAAGACCGGTCTACAGCGCGCAAACACATCAAGCGATCACCACTGTAGGACAACAGTGCTCAGGCTCCTCTGCAAAAGGGAGACATCCTGGATTCTTTCCGCCATCACTGGGTCGGCCGCCTCACACTCCTCGGGGCCGAAGCCAACTGCCCCCAGAAACGCGCGCGAGGCATCTGTTTGTCCAACCATGTGTCTACGTCGGACATTTATTGGAGGTGTGCTCGTGTGGAAAAGCGAAGCCCGTAGGTAGCGACGAAGAGCGCAAAAGCCACGGTTGCGCCACGGCTGTAGCTGCGAGTCTACACAGGATGGGCACGCAGCATAAGTACGAGAGTGCGCTGCTCTTTTCCAAAAGCGCTCCGCTTTGCAGGCGTGAAGGCTCGCGAACGTCAGTTTGTAATCTGCTGGTTGGTGATTTCGTTTGTTTTTCTATGTGGAGGTTTCTTTCTATCTCTCGCGTTTCTTCAAGCTATACGTCGGATTTCTCCCTGATGAAAAGACATACCGCCCGTCCTCCAGCTCAGCCACGCAAAGCTGCCGGCTCAACCTCCGCTTTGGAGCTGCTCGAAAAGGCCAGCGACTCCGATCCAATCCTGCGTCGCCACTCTAACGTGGGACTGGTCAAAATGTTTTCTGCCATCAAACAAAATGGCTGAATGTCGTGTTCACATGGGGACCCGCTACAGGAACCTGACAAAGTCATCCCTCAGTCATCCCTGGTCACTGTTTCAATGCCAAATCACAATGGCAACGCTGTTTCCAAAAAGTCATCCCCCAGTCACCCCCGGGAGCCAACCCCAATGGAACGCTGATACCCAAACAACACTTATCACCCAAAAAGTAAACCCAAAGAGTGCAAAAACCAATGGAACGCTAGTTCCAAAAGAGTGTGGTTTTGATTGATTTACATACGTTTACTGCACACCAGTCCCAATGGAACGCTGTAGAAATAGTTTGTTGACAAAACAGAGTCTGTGGCCACATAACCAGGGTAGGGGCTAAGGATATCTACTGTATGTATATGGGGAATGTTCCAGACAGCTCCTCCACGAAAAGCAAAAGTCTGCGATGCGACGGATATCATCGGCACTGCGGCGCAACTCTCTCGTGCTTCACACTTCGTTCCCGAACAACGCTCTAAAAAGGAGGTGATACTCAGACATGCTCTGGGAATTGTAGACACAGGGAATGACAGTCATTCGACACATGGAAATGACAATCTTTCTATATAAATTTTATGGAAATGACCTGTGCGCCCAAGCTCTCTCCACTTTTTTTCGTGCAAAATCTGTGCGTGTCAGGTTTTGGGTTTGGGAGGTTTGGCGAACCGGTTGGACCGATTCGAAGACCATGCAGAGAGCCATGCTTTTCTGGCTTGCTTGCTGCCTAGCACATTGGAACTGATCACGTTCATCCGAAATACTTCCCAAAGCGGATGGCCCTTACCAGTCTTCTTCCGCAACTCATTGTCAACATAGAAGGTGGCAATGGGAATGACAGCATCCCTCTCAGCCACAGGGAAGCATGCCACGATGTAACTGATGCAGCCGTCAGGCTCGTTCAAATCAAACTCCACAGCCTCTTCCACAATCTTTTCTGCACTTGTAGTAGCTCCCTTCCCAGGTGCAGGCAATGGATCTTCCAATGCCTGCTCTTGATGTCCACTATCTGCTTGCCCTTTGTCCTTGCTGCGAAGCTTCTTGAAGAGCTCACCCACCCCAACCGCCAGCTGCTTCTCTGCGGCATTCTCTGCAGCAACTTCAAGCAACTGGGGGGGCTTCAGCCACCCAGAACGCTTGGCTTTGTAAAGCTCTGCAGTCTTGGACTCATAGTTGCTATTTGCCGCACCGCACTGCCCACAAAACTTGTCAACTACAGACACTTTCGCTTTGCGCCCATCAGCAGAGCACGACTTTTTCTGAGGGCTTACTTTCTCTACTATGGACAAAGCAGAGGAAGTTTTGCTTTGTGGAGTGGGTGCGCACCAGGAATCCTTGCAGTGGAACAGTTCTGTAGCTCTTTCATTGAGCACTTTGAAGCGCTGAATGCGTTCTCCTGGAGTCCAGCCGCATTGCGCCCAGCCAGCACGTGCTTGTGTCTCACTGAGACCTTCGATGACACAGCGACGAATCCCTGCCAAAGCATGGTGTATGTTCAAACTTCCATGCTGACGCACCCAAGCCGCCTTGAACCCACTCCACAGCTTGCTCATAGTAGAGTGTGGATTGGAATCCAGTGGGCAGCAGGCAGCTGTCGTGTAGGCCGGTAAGACGTACGGCATGATGTTGTGTCTGTGGCACAGTAGAGCCATGGAGACGCTGATGTGTAGGTTTGATCCGCCACCACTGTCAAGGATAAGAATCAATGGAATACTGGTGTCAGGATACCTTTCCCGAGCTGGCTTGATCAGGCACTGCTCCAAGAAAAAGACAAAGGACAACCTGAGCACAAACAGTGTACAGCCCTCTCCCTCCAAGAAAACCTTCCTCTAACCTCATTTCAAGACACGGGCTTTGACTTCCACTCTCTGAGGCGTGGAAAACAGCTTCTGGCCATATGTCAGTGAAATTCTTGTGAACTCTCTTGAAGGGAACAATAACCCCGCATGGAAACGCTGGGCCAACACATGGCAGAAAGCTTGTGACTGTCACGTGCTCAAAAGAAAGCACGGGCGTGGATGCAGCTGCTGTCTGCTTTCCTTTTCTGGTTGTGACTCCTCTGACGATGGCATCTGCCCGGGCCGAAAACCCTTTCTCGTCAGTTATGATTAGACGGCCAGCCTCTTTTTCCAGCAGGATCCCATCGCGCATGATTCCAGCGCGGGTGCACATGTCCTCTAAACCAGAAAGCACTGCGGCGACCACCTGTGGAGTGCACGATGTGACCTCATAGCCAGTCTTTAGCTTCAGCTTTGATACCGACAGTTGCTCAGAAGGCGGCTTGGTTTTGCGGCACCATTCCTTCAAATCTCTCCACAAATGATTGTACTTGGGAAGCATTGACTCTATGCGGGATTGCAACTCACCAACAGGAGGCTCATCTCTTAGATGTCCCATCTTCTCCATTTTCATCACCACTATAGCTTTCTCAACCTCTTGGACGCAGAGGGATGAGCCTGTGCACTCATGAAAGCGGATGTAGGTCCACAGGTCTTCTTTTTCAGCAACGGAGAGTGAGCTCTGGGGCGTTCGCCCCATCCGAAAAATAGGCGGGCACTCGAACGGAAGATGCTCTGGAAACATGGTGGCAATTTTGTACCTTAAGGAATTGGGCAATGGGTTTCCCAAAGGCAATGGAAGGGCAAGAATTACGATAGAACAAAACCAGAAAGGTTACAAAACCTAGCTTAGTTGCAGCTGCTTCTTGTTGATCTTCAAGGCCTTCAGCTCTGACTCTGCAGTAGCAGGCTTCTGCAATTTTGTGCCAGCGTCTTTGAGCAACAAATGAAGCAAGCCGTACATCTCCCACCGTTTCTGGTCGTGGCCTGCAGGGTGGTGCGAATACTGCTCAAAATCTCGCGCCAAATCATCCGTTGTGTAACCCTGGGGCAACTGGATCGTTCGGCCCGCATCCGATTCAACTTCCCATGGCAGCAAAGTCTTGTTAGGTTGACACTCAAGCGCGGCAGCGCTGCCAGTGTTAGACAGCTTGGCTGTGACTTCGCGTCGAAACGCGTCCTGCTGTCCATTTGTCATAGCTTTCCACTTTGCAACATAATCAGCTTGCTTCCGTTTCTGGCCACCATCGCGAAATGCACAGATTCGTGCATACCAGTGCTGCTGAGATTTTTTCGCTCGACGTTCCCATCCATGTGGGGGATCTCCTGCGCCAGGCTCTTTACAATCTGTTCCGGCAACGTCGTTTTGCGTAAGCTTGGATGACTCCGACGTAAGAGCAGCATCAGGAGCAACATGATCCTGAGGCAAGATAAACGTGTCCTCAAACATCCATGGCATCCAACCCAGCAACCTTTGCTTCATCCACATAGCAAGGGTGACATACACCCACTACAGGAGACTTGTTGTCGCCACTCAAAGCAGCGCAGCAAAGGTTGCATGTCTTGTAGGGGTCGGCAGCTTTCTCTACAGGCTTCTGCTGCGCACTGAGACGCCGTTCACACACAAAGCATTTCTGACAGTAAGCCGGGAGCGCAGACTTATTGGCTTCATCGATGGCTATCTTGCAGTCAACGCACTGGGGAGGCTTCGACGGTGCAGCGGAAGAAGACTGAGAAAAGCCTTTGACGTGCGACTGCGCCGCAGCAGCCAAAGAATGAAGAGCCTGCAGCTGCACAGGCTCCTCTGGATCTGTGGGAGGTGGTGGTAAAGGCGGCTCCATGGACGAAGCTTGCTGTCCTGCTAGAACAATACATTTCCAAACTTAAGGAAATACATGGAAATACAAAATTCTCATGGATCCTGGGCGAGAACCGGGCGAGATCCAGGCGAGATCCAAAAATAACATTTTGGCCGGCGCCCAAACCATCCCCCCAACACAGCCTCTTAAAAGGCATCTGCCAAATAAGCGCAGAACCCCGCACTTAGCACATCTTGACCCCAAGAAATCATACAATTCTCTTTGCTTGCGTTCTTGCTCAAGTGCCTCCAAAAAATTCTCTTCTGTCGCAATCGCTTCCAAAAAACTCATCGCTTCACAACAAGGATGGGAAAGGGAACCGTATAATATAAGGAGACCACCGGAGATATAGTACTAAGGACTATGGCGAGAGAGTCTTTTGAGCGTATAGATATGGAGGAAGTATTCATATACCACATATTATATATAGAACCAGAGGGAGAAGAAATCACTCTTGCTCTGCTAGCGCAGCAGAGCGCTAGTCCTTAGCCCATCAAGGCCCCAATCTCACAGTAAAAAAGCAGGCCTTGAGAAGGTTGTGGCTGCTGCTGCTGCTGCATGGCCCTCACCAACAATGCTCTCTTTCGAGGTCAAGAGCATTCTTCGGCACCTGGACAGACCACAAGTCTAGCAGGCTCGCCAGTTCCCACTGCGGTAGCCGCAGCACCTTGCTTTCACTCATCCGCTGCTTGGGCGCCATCAAAGGAGAATGAAGCGCTCAAAAACAGTCCGGGATTTATATAACTTTGTATGTGGTTGAGCATGTGGATGCCCGTGCTGCTCCCATGTGGATGCCCCACTTTTTATGGCAATGTATGCAATGTTTTAGTTCCAGACAAAGGTGCATGAAGCACGCTACATTCTTGTGCCACATTGCAGCGATGAAAAGCAACAAGCTGCAGTGTCGGCCCTCTTGTAACCGATCAAAATCAAAGCGAAAGACCCTGGATCCAGCACCCTCAACACCCAGGGAGTGAAGTTTTCCCTGACGGGAGTGAATGAAGCTGGGGAAATGGAAAAGCTTGGTCTGAAAACGTTCATCGGTCAAGAGCCTGCAGATCTGACAGAAGATGACTCTTTTGACTCGAATCTGGTCTCTCAGCAGAACAGGTTCTCCTGCTCTGCAACCCCCATTCCCAAAGACCACCTCACGCCTTCTTCTTGCGTGGGCAGCACAGAATGCAAGCGCAGCTGTCACTAGCAAGGGCGACGCTCTTCTTCTGGGACAATTCAACAACAACCCCTACACCATCGACAGCCGACCACAATTCAAAAGACCTGGTGCACCCTAGTGCCTCACAGGCCTTCGCACAGCTGTGGCAGGATCCCCCTGTTACAACCGTGCCATTCTTCGTGGCACGATACTTCCAAGCACAGCTATGCTTCAAGCGCTGACAAAAAAGACATCCCGAAATAAAATCTGGAATAGCACCATCGCACTCTTTAGGCTTCCTCTCCCTCTGCTCAGCCTCTAACTTTTTCTTGTAGTCCTCCACCCTTTTCTGCTCAGCGAGTCCGAAAAGATCCCGGAACATATCAGGATGGGCAGCCTTCAACTTCTTGGCCAGCTGGCTGGCGCTGACATCCTCACAAAGATGGGATAAACATAGCCGACTCGAACACCTTGAGAGTGTTTGAAATGGCACCTGGCCCTGGAGTATTCCCTCAATCAATCAATGTGGAAGCGCATATGACTGACTGCATTACAAATAAACAAACATTCCTTACGTCAGTCCATCCACTACAGCAACGAAAGCAAAGTGAAGTCTGGATATTGATCACTCTTCTGGGGCATGATGCAGTTCTAGTCTACCCTGATGAAGGTGACATGATAGATGGTTGAACATGAAGATGGTGAACGAAGTTCTTGTCCACCCTGTCTCAGCCACTGCCTGGTCACATGGCTGCGCTGAAGCTCCAGAGTCTCGCAGGCGCTTCTGTGCAGTCACCATGAATGAAGCAAGAACTAGGCGATCAAGACAGTGAACAGAACATGTGGTTTTGCGTTGGACGATTGGATCTGCCTATCATATGATCCACGGATGCTTTGCTGGTTTGCCAGCTGTAGAATGAACTTGGACGACCTATGCACACCTGAGCAAAAAAGACATCTTGATAGTTCCTTGCAGGCGCCCTTTCTTGGATTCTTGGCACCCCAAGGTGTTTTGAGAAGGGTTCCCCATGGAACTCTGACCGTAACTATGGTTGGAGCATAGCTCTCTGGATGTAGGCAACTGGTGAACCTTCAACAGTAGTCCCTAGGATGACCCAAAAAGAGCACATATCATATCATATCATATCATACACAGCACCGGTGCATCAACAGCAGGCGAACCTGAGTGTATTAACAACCGAAAAACACAAATCCACTAGCCTTCCACTCATGATGAATGCCTGCTAATGCTTACATCAAACCCGTTAGCATATAACCCAACAGTAGGTCCCTTTCCAACCAACAGAGTTCGCTTGTGTTTGGGAAAAAGAGACGACTTTCCGCAGAGCCTTCCCCCCAAGGCAGGGTAGCAATCACTGAAAAAAAGTGACGACATTGTCTTTTGCCTGTACATAATCTCTACTCTTGGCACACGCAACCAGTGAATGAAGGAAATATGGACCAAGCAAGTATTGGCGCCAAATTGTGCGAGGTGTCAGTAGTGCTGCACTGTTTTCAGCTGCTCTCCGAGGAAGTTGAACCACTGCTGTCTGAACTGTGTGTCTTTTCAAGCAGTGCTTGAAATAAAAGACTCGTTGCAAGTCAGGTTTGGAAGGGCGCGCGCCGGAATCTGGCAATGTGCGCAGGCGCGGATCTAGCGCAGCGCTAATGCGCCGTTAGCGTATTTATTATAGCCAGCTACTTTTCACCTGACGACGTTCTGCGCGTGTCCTATATAGTCAAACACTCGCGTAAGTCTACGGCAAACCTAGCGCCCACCTTCAGGGTAGGTGTGCTTCGCTGGAGGCACGCTACATAATCTAATTGAAAAAACAACACCGTAAGCTACTTGCAACCCCTTTATCTAATTTTGGATTACAGACTTTTGAGCCAGACTCGATGTGGCGCGGTCAGCTCACGAGGACTATAAACACATAAACGCCAATGATTGCTATTTCGTAACAGAATTCGGATGGATACTTGTCTGCTGCACTTGTCAGAAAACAGACAAGCTGCCGTCCTCTCTCCATGCCTCTTGAAGTCCATCCAGAAAGCCTTGCTGGATTGCGACTCGGAGGTGTGGGTGTTCTGCGCGGTCAAAGCCTTGCGCTCCTGGATTCGGTAAGCTCCTGCATCAGGGGCCAGTCGGATGGTCCCAGAAGTCTTCTTCAATCTTAAGTCTACTCTTTGAAAGAGTTGTAGGTGGTGGTGGTGGCGGTGGCGGTGGCGGCGGCGGCGGCGGCGGCGGCGGTGGTGGTGGTGGTGGTGAATGAGTGAGAATAAGAGTGAGGGTGAGAGTGTGAGTGAGAGTGAGCATCTGAGAGCACAAAGTGCTGCGCCTGCCACGAAATCTGCACTCTGAGGTTCACAAAGTGCTGCGCCTGCCACGAAATCTGCACTTCGAGGTTCACAACAAAGTGCTGCGCCTGCCACGAAATCTGTGCGAGGTTCACAAAGTGCTGTGCCTGCCACGACATCTGCACTGTGAGGTTCACAAAGGGCTGCGCCCGCAAATCTGCACCCGCTTGCCACGATTTATGAAAACCTGCCACATGTAGAAAAGTCACGCTTCACTGCACCTGTCACGAAATCAGAGCGCGTCGAAGATCACTGCCATGTCCAAAGTGCTGCGCCTGCCACGAAATCTACAATTTGATGTAAAGCCACTCCGAACCCTTGCGCCCGTCACGAGAAGTCGACTTTGGACCACTGAAGCACGAGGTTTCCCTTGTGCCTGCCACGAAAAGTGACCACCATGTCCGAAAATGTGCACAGCACCACAACGAGAGCACAGTTGCGACAAGCACCCGCGCCAGCCCACCAGATTTTGCGAGCCTGCGCAGTCGAAATGCACTTCGAGGATTTTGAGAGGCATGAGCGAATTAGCCGAACACCCCGGTGCAATACCTCGATTAGATTCCGGTGCTTAACCCCTACCGTAAGAACCCCTAGCGCGTCCACACTGCTTGGGGAAAGACCAAGCCATCCCAAAGCTCTTACTGAAGAGCATAAGTATGCACGCCTTGAATCAATGTGTGCGGCCGGAATGGTGGGGTTGATATGCTTCGATATGTACGGCCGGAATGGTTATGATCTGATAATCTGGAAAAAACCTCACTGCATGCCATTAACTTGTGCCGGGGTGGCTTTGCTAAGTGGCATCTGACATCTGAAATAGTCTGAAACGACAAAAGCGGGCCCAATGAAAAGAAACGTGAGCGACGTGGCATCTGGTCTACTATCTTGAAAATTTGTTTAGGAGCAATCTTTGCATAAAGGGTTAATTAAGGAATTGATGGCTTTGGGAAGCTGTCAGTTTTGAAGAAGAACTGGAGAAACCTATACTTATCAATAACTTCAGCAAGCCAGCCATTGGCTTAGTAGTATTGACAGGTCTCCGAAGGGTTTAAAGCCCCAGTAATTTGTTTCACATAATAA